TTAATATTAAATCTAACCACTTAATGGTTCCTAAAAACAAGCAACCATTCACTGGTGTTGCTGATGCATTTCTACTCGATGGGAGCTAGAGACTGTACTCAGCAGGGAGCTCTATCCAGTTCTCATTTGGAAGCTTACCTTACCTTGAGATGGTTTCGACCATCTCAAGGTCTCGACCAAACCTCTCGTCGCTGGACTGGTCAACCAGGCTGTTGGACACAGCTACTCGCAGCCTGACGTATTAGTCACAGCCTGGTTGATCAGGTATCCTTTGGAGGTGCTTATCAAGTTCTCTCTTGAACACTGTGAGGGGTTGGCCAGTTATGCCCCTTATGTGTCGTTGAAACATGTTGAACAGTCTCGGGCCTCTGATGTTGATAGAGTCCTCTCTCAGAGTACCTATTGCACCTCTGCTTTTCAACAGGGGTATTCTGCACATTTTGCCATGCCTTCTGGACTCATGTGGTGTTGTTTCTGTGTGCAGGTTTGGGACCAGCCCCTCTACTATTTTCAATGTGTAAATTATTATGCATCTCTCCCACCTGCACTCAAGAGAATACAGATTTAGGCATTTTAGTCGGTCCCAATAGTTTAGATGTTTTACTGAGTAGATTCTAGTAGTAAAAGATCTCTGCATGCTCTCCAGGTCAGCAATTTCTCCAGCTTTGAATGGGGCTGTCATTGTGCAACAATACAGGTATTCCACTCTAGAGAAGCACTAGAGTCTTGAAAAGTATTATCATCAGTATAGCATCTCTAGTGTGAAAGGTTCTTTTTATCCAACCTGTCATTTTTCTTGCAGTTGTGATGTCTACTTTATTGTGTTCTTTAAAGGTAAGGTCTTCTGACATGAGTACATCCAAATCCTTTACATTGCCTTTTCATTGTATGTTATGATTTGACTGCATTTTGTATGTGCTTTCTCTTTTTAAATTTTATTTTTTTCCGTAGCATATGAGGTGGAACTTATCTTCATTAAACACCATATTATTTTCTGTAGCCCATAGAAAGACCTGATTTACATCTGATTGGAGGTTTGCCGTGTCCTCTATGTTGTCTACTCTCATAAAAGTCCTAGTGTTATCTGCAAAGGAACATACAGTACATATATAGATTGTGTCCTTGTCTATGTCCGATATGAGGATGAGAAAAATTACTGGAGCAAGCACAGTACCCCGAGGGACTGAGCTCATCACAGTTAATGGATCGGATTTTATTTTGTTGACTATTACACCTTGGGTTCTGTTTGTCAGGAAATTGTAGATCCATCTGCCTATTTTTCCGGTAATTCCTTTTGAATGCATTTTGTGTGCAATAACACCATGATCACATTTGTCGAAGGCTTTTGCGAAATCTGTGGAAATTACATCAGCATTTTGTTTGTCTTCCATAGCATCTAATGCCATGTCATAGTGGTCCAGTTACTGTGACAGGCAAGAGCGCTCTGTTCTGAAACCATGTTGTCCAAGGTTATGGAGATGCTGTGATTCCATGTATTTTGTGATCATCTTAGCATTCTTTCAAATATTTTTATGATGTGTGATGTTAGTGCTGTCGGTCTGTGTAATTTTTTGCCTCTGCCTTATTTTCTCCTTTATGAAGTGGTGCTATCTCTGCTGTTTTTAGTATGTCATCTCAATCATCTGGTCTCCTACTTTGGGCAGACACAGACATTCTATTTTATAGATATAGATATTAAGTTTTATTTTTTATGTGGGTCTAGCTGAAATATTTCCATCATTTAAGTTTTTAAAATGGCTTATCTTATCTCAGTGCAAATATAAAGCAGTACGGTACAGTAATAATCAAATTTGCAAGGGAGATGATTGGACTTGGTTAAGACTTGGTATGTTGCCACAAGTAAAATTCATCAAACTGCATCAACGTATCATCAAGAAGTTTATCGATATGATAAACATTCATCATGAGGTACAGAACATGAGAGGTCCTTTGCTATAACTATATCACTAGTAACAGTTTATTTATACAATATATTGGGCAAATTAAGGGGGTTACAGTGTAGGTAAAGTATGGAGTTGTTTATTAAATAAAACCAGTACAGTAGTTGTGCACCACATTTTGGGTACGGCAGAGGTTATCTTGAGATGATTTCGGGGCTTTAGTGTCCCCGCGGCCCGGTCCTCGACCAGGCCTCCACCCCCAAGAAGCAGCCCGTGACAGCTGACTAACATCCAGGTACCTATTTTACTGCTAGGTAACAGGGGCATAGGGTGAAAGAAACTTTGCCCATTGTTTCTCGCCGGCACCTGGGATCGAACCCAGGACCACAGGATCACAAGTCCAGTGTGATGTCCGCTCGGCCGACCGGCTCCCAATCGGATGATAGCAAATCAATTTCTTTCTTTATTGTGCACCCCATACCCATCCCATGGGCGGTGATGGAAAGGGTTACAGAAGCACATAATCACAAAGACAGAGATTACATATTTTGTGATGATACAAGTGATGTCTAGGAGACGAAAGACCATGAAGACAATTTTCATGTATATCCCAGGGATACCTTACTTTAGAAAAAAAATTAAGACGTGTCGGGTAAGAAAATACTGTGAGGTTTTAAGGCGAAGCACTTGGTGTGCTTCACTTGATACTTGATGATGTTTGGTATCAAGGCAAAGCATTTGATACCAAACAACAGAGGGATGGTTAACACGGGTTGACAGTCACCAGTAGCAAGGCTGTTGGCACTATCAGAGTCGTTTTGCCCATGATTGCTTCTCGTTAAATGTAACAAAACGTAAAATTAATTTACATCGAATAATTTACTGTATATGTAACAAAGTTTCCGTTACCGGTAAAGTATATAGTAAGCTACTTGGCAACAGGAAAGCAAATTATTGTCACAAACACAGCTATTTATATTATATACTGAATAATGTCATTACTAGGAAGCTCAACTATATTGAGAGCTGCTTGACTGAAACATAAAAAAATAACAGCAGCCACCTAGTCATAGGGGGGGGGGGGGGGGCATAACTGGCCTGCCTCTTGCAGCGTTCAAGAAACAACTCGACAAACACCTCTGAAGAATACCTGACCAACCAGACTGTGATTCATAGATCAGGCTGTGAGCAGCTGCGTTCAACAGCCTGGTTGACCAGTCCAGCAACCAGGAGGCTTGATTGGAGACCGGGCCACAGGGCCATTGATCCACAGAAGCTACACCAAGGTAGTCATAACTCCTGCGCTCATTGTCATTAATCCAACTACAGTAAATTAACAACGTACTGGAGTGAACGATATGGAAGAAAATGCAGAATAGAACCAGTGAAGAGCAGAGGTGCCATAGGCACAATCAGAGAACACTGTATAAACATCAGAGGTCCGCGGTTGTTCAACGTCCTCCCAGCGAGCATAAGAAATATTGCCGGAACAACCGTGGACATCTTCAAGAGAAAATTAGATAGTTTTCTTCAAGGAGTGCCGGACCAACCGGGCTGTGGTGGATATGTGGGCCTACGGGCCGCTCCAAGCAACAGCCTGGTGGACCAAACTCTCACAAGTCAAGTCTGGCCTCGGGCCGGGCTTGGGGAAGAACTCCCAGAACTCCATCAAGCAGGTTTTAACTTGGCCTCTTGAATAGTACATCGCATTTTAATGCATAAATCCTCTAAGGCCAAACACTGATTGTACTGAAAATCAGAGTGGCTCGCAACATGGACGTGATGTCCTGTTTTCTATTTGTGGGTCCTCGGTTAGGTTAGGTTAGGTTAGGTTCGAGCAGTTTAGGTCACCAGTTTAGTGGGGTTGTGAGCGCTCGAGAGGCCGGGCTGATTAATCAAGTGTTGAATTAGGTAGTTGTGCATGGTAGGCTATGTATAGTCAGGAATAGTTGTAATATGTACTTTATTTAAATATCACAGTATTTACTTACTCATTCGGTTCAAATAATAATTTAATATTAGCCTATCCACTTGTAATTTTGTAATTCCCAGTTTCATAGACAAAAGTGAAATGTATTTAACTTAAGTTTCTAACTTAAGTTTGAATGTAAATATAAGTGTTTGGCGCTAAAACCAACACAACTGATGTTTTCATCAGAAAAATTCATGTTCTTATGATTGAAGCGCTTTTGTTATTGTGTGCGCGAGTCTGTTATGGTTCCAGCGGCGGTGTTAATCTTGAGCCTGTTATCACTTCAGTCGTTACCCAAGAGTACAAACCTAATAGTGACTGTAGGTGTGGCAGGTCTAGCGGCTAGCGTGAGAGCCTGTTATCGCTTCGGTACTTAACAAAATAAATCGTTTGTGGGAGTTTGGGGAGGCGGCAGCAGCAGCAGGAGGAGCAACAGCAGCAGCAGCAGCAGCAGCAGCAGCAGGAGAAGGAAGAAGATCGTTGGAGGAACTCCAATATAGCCTGGCCTCTTGAGTTGCCACAACGGACAGAAAATGGTGCACTAACCTAACCGAGGGACACGCATAGAAAACACAAATATTTGTGAGCCGCTATGAATTATAGCGTCACATTTTGTCCACTGGGGACTTTTGACAGTCAAAATGCGATGTTGTATTAGAGAGGGCGGGATGAATGTAGCCGGGAACCCAGCAAACATCAGCTCTTGTATCTACTGAAGCTGTGCAACAACCAGTAGTGGATTTCGATCACCATGGGATATGAGGGGCATAAGGTTTATGGAGGCCAAGTGAGCACTGCGAGTTTCAGCCACCATAAGAACAAACCAACGCCGAGACGTGAACAAATAACTTGTCTTGAGTAATAAGCGATTTCCTCCAAGTGCCATAGACGTTTCCTCCCGTGCTCCAAGCATCGAACTGGGTTCTTCTTGTGCTCCAATCATCGAACTGGGTTCTTCTTGTTCTCCAAGCATCGAACTGGGTTCTTCTTGTGCTCCAATCATCGAACTGGGTTCTTCTTGTGCTCCAATCATCGAACTGGGTTCTTCTTGTGCTCCAATCATCGAACTGGGTTCTTCCCATGCTCCAATAATCGAACTGGGTTCTTCCTGTGCTCCAATCGCCAACATGGCATTTTTCAAATTTGATGTGTTAACTATTATTAAGTGAGCTGCACCTGGATGTGGTAGTGTCCAGTAGCTGGACAGTTCAAGGGGGGGTATTGAATAAAATATAAAATACTCGTCTCTTGGGGGAAGGCGGCACGCGAGGAAAACACATTCCAGAAGTCTGCTGACAGCGTTGCCCTCACCGTTGATCGGCGCATGAAAGTATGACCAGGGGTCGCATTCATGAAACCACTTACGCAAGCACTTGCGAACCTGTACATCTTTTTCTCAATTTTTGGCGGCTTTGTTTACAATTATTAAACAGTTAATGAGCTCCGAAGCACCAGGAGGCTGTTTATAACAATAACAACAGTTGATTGGCAAGTTTTCACGCTTGTAAACTGTTTAATAAATGTAACCAAAGCCGTCAAAGATTGAGGAAAGATGTACACGTTCGTAAGTACTTGCGTAACTGCTTCGTGAATCTGACCCCAGGACTAATAACGGTGAAGGCAACGCAGTCAGCTGGCAGACTAAGACCCGTCCATAGATTAGAAGCATTAGTGGGTCGTGGATGGCTGTGAACTTGTTAAAGGAAAAAAAAGGGGGTTTGAAGGGGTGTGGAGTCGTCAATCTTCACTGTACAGGCTAGGGCTTCAACAAGTTTAAACAGCGCCAGGATTCCTCGTCAGACATTTACTCAGTACGGGCTCACCATAGCCCGTGCTACTTGGAACTTTTTGTTCCGGGTAGCGGATCTTGAACAACAAACTACACTTCTTTCAACAATCATGGCGGCTTTGTTTACATTTTATTAGTAAGTTTACGAGATGGGGAAACTTCACGATACAAGGTTATTATGCTTATAAACAGCCTCGTAGTGCTTTGGAGCTCTCAAACTGTTGAATAAATGTTAACGTAGCCGCCATGATAAGAGGACAGATATACAGGTTTCGTAAGCAGTGGCGTAAATGTTTGATTAATCTTGAGCCAGGACACCCCAGAGGGTAGGAAATGTAGATGTTTATCTCTCAGAATGTTTGGTAATATGTTTATTGTTTGTGATGTGTGTATATGTATGTCCCTTCACCTAGTGCTGAAGGGACACGATGTGCTGAACGGGGTGAGAATAGCTTGAGCTACCTCATCCCTTTGTGTGTATTTTACCTCAATAAACTTATTTAAATTTCACTGCAGGGGGGGGGGGGAAGATTAGCTCCACCTTGCTCTTGGGTATTGTGCCCACTTCAGGCGGCGAGTCACAATAACGTGGCTGAAGAATGTTGACCAGACCACACACTAGGTGAAGGGACGACGACGTTTCGGTCCGTCCTGGACCATTCTCAATCGACTTGAGAATGGTCCAGGACGGACCGAAACGTCGTCGTCCCTTCACCTTCTAGTGTGTGGTCTGGTCAACATTATTGTGCCCACTGGGTACAAGGTGACTTTCATAGAGGGTTTAGGACGGTTGGTGAAAGAGGGCCACAGAGTTACTGTACTCTTGAAGCCAAGTATAAGAACTCGCCTATTTGGCTCTTGGGTCCCGCCTCTTAATGCGCGATCGACTGGTGTGTGTTCTAAGAGTGTGTTCGGCTTTTGTCATATTTAAAGCTGTGCGTAGAGTCTGCCTCCACCACTTAACGCATTCCAGTGGTTCACTATACTTTCTGTTGTCTATGTGGCTCATTTGGGTACTTTGTACTACCCCTGCTAAATAGTCTGTTCTTGTCTATCCGGTCCCTTTCCCCTCGGTATTTTGTATGTTGTAATCCAGTCTCCCGTGTTTTTTCTCTCTCTTCCAGCGACTTTAGGTTTAACACCGGTAGTCTTTCCTCGTAGCTCATACCTCTCAGTTCTGAGACTAGTCTGGGGCATACCTCTGAACTGTTTCCAGCATAGTTTTGTGTTTAACGAGATAAGTACTTCATGCTGGTGCCGCACATTCCAGAATTGGTTGTACATGTGTGATTACATACGATTCATGTAATCGTTTCTCATCCACTGCCTAAGACAGAAATGAGTAAGACTTAGTGGGCGAGAGACTTAGGGCTCACGCAGGAATACTCCTGCAGAGCAACGTATGTGTACAGGATTCCGAACAACTCGGTTCTGTTCAGTTCTCGACTCAACTCTGTTCAAATCTCTGAAGGCAGTTCTAATATGTCCAGCCTTCAATATGCAGCTGATATTCTTTTGAGGTGGGATTCTGGTGACAGGTTTGGGGTAATATCAACCCCCCCTTCCCCAAGGTCTTGTTCTGTATTAGAAAACTTAAAGCCGTGTCGGGTAACCCGGGATGACACACTAGCGATCTCGAGCTGAAACCGATGCTGAAGAGCGGGAAAAATCGTTACCACAAGAGAAAATAATGAGGTTGTCAGCATAGAATCTGGCAGAGAATAAACCCTCGTGGACAGAGAGAGAGAGAGAGAGAGAAGGGACGACCATTAAGGGCAAGCAAGGAAGAGCTGTGCACTAGACACAGCCCCGGTGAACGTCTTTATGTTGGTGGGGAGAGAACAGAGACCACAGGCCCAAGGCAGACCTTCAACGTGCGGCCCGAAGAGGACGCTTCGATGGAAGCGCGGGAAATTGCTGCGGAGGATAAAATAATATACTTGGGCTAATGTATTGTCGAACCATTTACGGGCTCATCATAGCCCGTGCTACATGGACACTTCGTCCTGAGTAGCTAAATCTGAAGCAACAACAGCTAATGTATTAGATCTTCAGGTAAAAAAAGGATGTCTACAACTGTGTTATCGATAGAAAATGAATTACCACAGTAAGTCTTTAAATCTACCAGAAATCAGTCAGATGTTCTGCGTCGCGAAAGCCAAATGGTGAGGGAAAAGAGAACGATTATGTTCTAAAAGAGGTGCGCGTTATATGTTCATTCATATGTTCACAGGTCTAAAGCTTGTAGGTGCAGCGCGTCAAGGCAATGGGGTAGGCCAAGTTCTCACTGTTCAGAGTTCCTTAATGGGGGAGAACATGGAGCCAGGCGGTGGACGCAGTAGTGTGTGGTGGAGTGGTGTAGTGTGTGGTGTCAGCAACATTGTCTGCCAGAAACGAATGTTGGTATGGCAGGGGACGGGGGAGGGGGTGGGGAGGGACTACAGTGACCACGAGGTAGTGAGGGTAATGGACGTTGGGAACTATCTACGGCTGTGTCCTGGATTTGTTCTCTGGGATCACAAGAGGGTCCATCCACAATTATAACAGGCTAACAAGCAATTGTAAATTGTACAGACTTGGCAAAGGATAGCCAATGAATGTCTCAATACAGAGATTGAACATAAACAATAGAAATTTAGAAGTGGGTGTTGGCCGTGTTCCCAGGTTCCTCCCTCATCCTTCCAAGTCTGTGTGTGCCGTGAGGGCAGTAGGAAGGTAGAGAGACAGAGGGGAGGGCGAGAGTGGCGATGGCACCTGGAAGAACCTGCATTGGCACTGACAGTGGCGAAAGACAGACCCGGGGACACTAGGACCGTGATTTGGTGAGCGGTTAAGGCATGGCAGCTGGGGAGGGTAATGAAGTGGGGATACCCCCCCCAAGTCACCCCCAAAGACCCCCCATGACACCCCCCCCTCAAGTCACCCCCCAAGACCCTCCCCAAATCACCCCTCAAGACACCCCCCCCCCCCAAGTCACCCCTTAAGACACCCCCCCAAGTCACCCCCCAAGACCCCCCCAAGACCCCCTCCAAGACCCCCTCCAAGACCCCCTCTAGGACACCCCCCCTCCCACCATCAGGATGGGGAGAGAGGTAGGAGAACCAGATGCGTCAGTGGAGCTGGCAGTGGTGAGGACACGGAGACACTGCCACCACTGGCCAGGGAGCTGGCAGTGGTGAGGACACGGAGACACTGCCACCACTGGCCAGGGAGCTGGCAGTGCCGAGGACACGGAGACACCACCACCACTGGCCAGGGAGCTGGCAGTGGTGAGGACACGGAGACACTGCCACCACTGGCCAGGGAGCTGGCAGTGCCGAGGACACGGAGACACCACCACCACTGGCCAGGGAGCTGGCAGTGGTGAGGACACGGAGACACTGCCACCACTGGCCAGGGAGGTGGCAGTGCCGAGGACACGGAGACACCACCACCACTGGCCAGGGAGCTGGCAGTGGTGAGGACACGGAGACACTGCCACCACTGGCCAGGGAGCTGGCAGTGCCGAGGACACGGAGACACTGCCACCACTGGCCAGGGAGCTGGCAGTGGTGAGGACACGGAGACACTGCCACCACTGGCCAGGGAGGTGGCAGTGCCGAGGACACGGAGACACCACCACCACTGGCCAGGGAGCTGGCAGTGGTGAGGACACGGAGACACTGCCACCACTGGCCAGGGAGCTGGCAGTGCCGAGGACATGGAGACACTGCCACCATTGGCCAGGGAGCTGGCAGTGGTGAGGACACGGAGACACTGCCACCACTGGCCAGGGAGCTGGCAGTGCCGAGGACACGGAGACACCACCACCACTGGCCAGGGAGCTGGCAGTGGTGAGGACACGGAGACACCACCACCACTGGCCAGGGAGCTGGCAGTGCCGAGGACACGGAAACACCACCACCACTGGCCAGGGAGCTGGCAGTGCCGAGGACACGGAGACACCACCACCACTGGCCAGGGAGCTGGCAGTGGTGAGGACACGGAGACACCACCACCACTGGCCAGGGAGCTGGCAGTGCCGAGGACACGGAAACACCACCACCACTGGCCAGGGAGCTGGCAGTGCCGAGGACACGGAGACACTGCCACCACTGGCCAAGGAGGTGGAAGGAGAGTGGAGATCTGCCAACCAGCAGATGTTATAGATTCAGCTACTCGGAACAAGTTCCAAGTAGCACGGGCTATGGTGAGCCCGTAATCTCAAGCAGCAGAACACATGAATGAATATATAGGTGAATATACCAGCCCGTCCTCTGGAGCGTTCACGTCACTAATATGATGTAAGCAGTTGCCCTAAACCTAACCTAACCTAGATCCCATGAATAGAAAACGGCACAATGCGTCAAGTTTTACGAGCCGATACGAGTTTGAATACATCTTTAACGTTGAGGCTTTTTACGTCAAAATATGATGCGTTATGAGAGGACAGGTTATACACCTAGGGGTTGACAGCAACCTGCATCTTCTTCATTTATAATCAAGATAACAAATGTATAATTGATTCCAAATATTAGTGATTATAGGAGCCAGCAAGCCATGAGTGGGGGTGGGAGCACCACCCCGGCCCCCCTTGGATTGTGAAAGGGGGGGGGGAGGATGAGGTGGGTGGTTTGGGGGGTAGGGGCTGAGTCAGACCCCAACACACAAGAACTATGGAGCCAGCAGGAGGAGTCCCCTCCTTCCCCCCCATCCCCACCCCTCCTCTATCCCGGGTAAGGGTAAAACATCCTCCAGAGAGGCCCTACTCGCGGACCTGGTGCTCGCGGACCTGGCACTCGTGGACCTGGCACTCGTGGACCTGGCACTCGTGGACCTGGCACTCGTGGACCTGGCACTCGTGGACCTGGCACTCGTGGACCTGGTACTCGTGGACCTGGTACTCGTGGACCTGGCACTCGTGGACCTGGCACTCGCGGACCTGGCACTCGCGGACCTGGCACTCGCGGACCTGGCACTCGCTGACCTGGTACTCGCGGACCTGGCACTCGTGTACTAACAAGGGGGGACGAATAAGCACCCAAGTGACCCCTATGGGTAACAGAGGTCAAATATGGAGAGTCTAAATGGCTAGCTAGCCAGGGACCTATAGAAATATTGACCCCCTCCACGTGCCTGTTTGACCAGAGTCTAACCAGGCTAGTCACTGGATTCAGTCGGGTCACTCTGAACTCATATTTCCCCTATCCCCTCTAGTAAAGAAGCGTGTTGGCTCCCCTTAGCCTTCACTCCCAGGAACCACAACTGATGGATAGACTAGACCTCTAGATAAAGGGAAACAACATAGATCTCCATCACAAAGTCACAGACAACGTTGGTGCTGCTTGTCCGCCAGCACGCCCCCTGCGACGGAACCCACCAGCACGCCCCCTGCGACGGAACCCACCAGGTCGCCCCCCGCGACGGAACCGGCCAGCACGCCCCCCGCGACGGAACCCGCCAGCACGCCCCCCGCGACGGAACCCGCCAGCACCCCCCCTGCGACGGAACCCGCCAACACGCCCCCCCTGCGACGGAACCCGCCAGCACGCCCCCCGCGACGGAACCCACCAGCACGCCCCCCGCGACGGAACCCACCAGCACGCCCCCCGCGACGGAACCCGCCAGCACGCCCCCCGCGACGGAACCCGCCAGCACGCCCCCCGCGACGGAACCCGCCAGCACGCCCCCTGCGACGGAACCCGCCAACACGCCCCCCCCCTGCGACGGAACCCGCCAGCACGCCCCCTGCGACGGAACCCGCCAGCACGCCCCCTGCGACGGAACCCGCCAGCACGCCCCCCGCGACGGAACCCGCCAGCACGCCCCCCGCGACGGAACCCGCCAGCACGCCCCCCGCGACGGAACCCGCCAGCACGCCCCCCGCGACGGAACCCACCAGCACGCCCCCTGCGACGGAACCCGCCAGCACGCCCCCCGCGACGGAACCCGCCAGCACGCCCCCCCGCGACGGAACCCGCCAGCACGCCCCCCGCGACGGAACCCGCCAGCACGCCCCCCGCGACGGAACCCGCCAGCACGCCCCCCGCGACGGAACCGGCCAGCACGCCCCCCGCGACGGAACCCACCAGCACGCCCCCCGCGACGGAACCGGCCAGCACGCCCCCCGCGACGGAACCCGCCAGCACGCCCCCCGCGACGGAACCCGCCAGCACGCCCCCTGCGACGGAACCCGCCAGCACGCCCCCTGCGACGGAACCCACCAGCACGCCCCCCGCGACGGAACCGGCCAGCACGCCCCCCGCGACGGAACCCGCCAGCACGCCCCCCGCGACGGAACCCACCAGCACGCCCCCCGCGACGGAACCCACCAGCACGCCCCCCGCGACGGAACCCACCAGCACGCCCCCCGCGACGGAACCCACCAGCACGCCCCCCGCGACGGAACCCGCCAGCACGCCCCCCGCGACGGAACCCGCCAGCCCCCCGCGACGGAACCCGCCAACACGCGACGGAACCCGCCAACACGCCCCCCCCCCCCGCGACGGAACCCGCCAGCACGCCCCCCGCGACGGAACCCGCCAGCACGCCCCCCGCGACGGAACCCGCCAGCACGCCCCCCGCGACGGAACCCGCCAGCACGCCCCCCGCGACGGAACCCGCCAGCACGCCCCCCGCGACGGAACCCGCCAACACGCCCCCCGCGACGGAACCCGCCAACACGCCCCCCCCCCGTGACGGAACCCGCCAGCACGCCCCCCGCGACGGAACCCGCCAGCTCGCCCCCCGCGACGGAACCCGCCAGCACGCCCCCCGCGACGGAACCCGCCAGCACGCCCCCCGCGACGGAACCCGCCAGCACGCCCCCCGCGACGGAACCCGCCAGCACGCCCCCCGCGACGGAACCCGCCAGCACGCCCCCCGCGACGGAACCCGCCAGCACGCCCCCTGCGACGGAACCCGCCAGCACGCCCCCTACGACGGAACCCGCCAGCACGCCCCCTGCGACGGAACCCGCCAGCACGCCCCCTGCGACGGAACCCGCCAGCACGCCCCCCGCCACGGAACCCGCCAACACGCCCCCCTGCGACGGAACCCGCCAGCACGCCCCCTGCGACGGAACCCGCCAGCACGCCCCCCGCCACGGAACCCGCCAACACGCCCCCTGCGACGGAACCCGCCAGCACGCCCCCCGCCACGGAACCCGCCAACACGCCCCCCACGCTCCAACTCACCAGCAGAGTATGCCGGGCTGGAACACAAACAATCCCGGCGATAACTGAGCAATAGCTGTGATACGTGCAGGGAAGGATAACCGTGCAGGGAAGGATAACCGTGCAGGGAAGGATAACCGTGCAGGGAAGGATAACCGTGCAGGGGGAGATATAACCTTCAGTGATTTATTGTGTTTGTGAGCGTCTTGTCGCTCGAGCGGCTCTCTCACTCTCACTCTCACTCTCACTCTCTCTCTCCTCAACATTCTCATCTTTTCGTAAACAAAGTGTGTACAAATATTTAGAAAGCGTCAGCTTTAATAAGGGTGTTTGAGAGAGGCGGGAATGTAGTAGAAGGTAAGCACTCTACTTCCTTAACTTTGTTATGTTTGTATAATTGTACAGTATTTCTCACATCTCTGTAGGGTACAGTGGCTCACATCTCTGTACGGTACAGTGGCTCACATCTCTGTAGGGTACAGTGGCTCACATCTCTGTACGGTACAGTGGCTCACATCTCTGTACGGTACAGTGGCTCACATCTCTGTAGGGTACAGTGGCTCACATCTCTGTAGGGTACAGTGGCTCACATCTCTGTAGGGTACAGTGGCTCACATCTCTGTACGGTACAGTGGCTCACATCTCTGTAGGGTACAGTGGCTCACATCTCTGTAGGGTACAGTGGCTCACATCTCTGTAGGGTACAGTGGCTCACATCTCTGTAGGGTACAGTGGCTCACATCTCTGTAGGGTACAGTGGCTCACATCTCTGTAGGGTACAGTGGCTCACATCTCTGTAGGGTACAGTGGCTCACATCTCTGTAGGGTACAGTGGCTCACATCTCTGTAGGGTACAGTGGCTCACATCTCTGTAGGGTACAGTGGCTCACATCTCTGTACGGTACTGTGGCTCACATCTCTGTAGGGTACAGTGGCTCACATCTCTGTAGGGTACAGTGGCTCACATCTCTGTAGGGTACAGTGGCTCACATCTCTGTAGGGTACAGTGGCTCACATCTCTGTAGGGTACAGTGGCTCACATCACATCTGTACGGTACAGTGGCTCACATCTCTGTAGGGTACAGTGGCTCACATCTCTGTAGGGTACAGTGGCTCACATCTCTGTAGGGTACAGTGGCTCACATCTCTGTAGGGTACAGTGGCTCACATCTCTGTAGGGTACAGGGCTCACATCTCTGTAGGGTACAGTGGCTCACATCTCTGTAGGGTACAGTGGCTCACATCTCTGTAGGGTACAGTGGCTCACATCTCTGTACGGTACAGTGGCTCACATCTCTGTAGGGTACAGTGGCTCACATCTCTGTAGGGTACAGTGGCTCACATCTCTGTACGGTACAGTGGCTCACATCTCTGTTCGGTACAGTGGCTCACATCGCTGTACGGTACAGTGGCTCACATCTCTGTAGGGTACAGTGGCTCACATCTCTGTAGGGTACAGTGGCTCACATCTCTGTAGGGTACAGTGGCTCACATCTCTGTACGGTACAGTGGCTCACATCTCTGTTCGGTACAGTGGCTCATATCGCTGTACGGTACAGTGGCTCACATCTCTGTACGGTACAGTGGCTCACATTTCTGTACGGTACAGTGGCTCTCACAAGTCAAGCCTGGTCTCGGGCCGGGCATGGCGAGTAGAACAACTCCTAGAACCCCATGAAGCAGGTATCGAGTATAATTACTGAGAGGTAATGGTTGTTACAACTGAAAGGTTATTGACGTAGTTGTTGGCCAAAATCTGATACAAATGAAATATATGAAGTACTTTTATTAAAAGAAGTTGTAGAGAGATATTACGGATATTTTCTTGAATTGCTGCCGAATTACACGAACCCCCGGACAGTCAAATTTGTTTGTGTCAGTTTCGAGTCTGGAAACATTATGCAACCCGTTGACCAGACCACACACACTAGAAACTGAAGGGACGACGACGTTTCGGTCCGTCCTGGACCATTCTCAAAGTCAATTGTGTCTCTCAAGTCATTCACAATCGACTTGAGAATGGTCCAGGACGGACCGAAAGGTCGTCGTCCCTTCTCTTTCTAGTGTGTGGTCTGGTCAACATATTTCAGCCACGTTATTGTGACTCTTCGTCTGCATTATACAACCCTTTCGTTATCTAATACGTCTTTCCCTCCCCCCCTTTTGTTTTATGGAATACAACAATCCTTTATTTGTTTTACTAAGACGTCCATTTGTTAAAGTATCATAATATTTGACGTTTTCTATGCATAGGGCTTAATAAGTTAGGTGGATTGCTTTGGGTCGTACGTGTCTTATAAGGCAAAACAGTTCCCCCCTTTTTTTTTGATGGAGTGGCAAATTGACAGAACGGGTTGGATTACCTGGTTCAGTTTCCCAGGCTGTTGAACCGGCTTCGGGGAATTTCCCCGCGGAGGGAGACGGCCTCCTTATTGTTAACTGTGACTCACCTCGCGGTTTCCAGAGGCCGGCCAGGACGTCTGGTAGGCTTGTCGAGGTCCCCCCCCCCCCCCAGGCCTAAAATATTCAAATTGTGTGCTCCCCCCTAGGCCTAAGGGTAGCACACAAG